TACCAAAAGTAAACCATCTACAATAATACTGTTTGCAGGGACCAGCAGTTAGCATAATGGCTATGTCACTGGACTCCCACATAGTTGACCGTGGTTCAAGTCCCGAACCCGGTGGCTTAAACTCATGCCAGGTGCATGTGTGTGCGTGCCCAAGATCCCAAGAGGAGAATGGAGGAGAAGGGATTGCAGCGTGGCCAAGGAGAAGGGATTGCGGCGTGACCATCCCCCCTGGGGGGTGATTTCTCGCTTTCTGTCTCTCTGTCTCTCTCTGTCTGTCTGGCGAGCGCGCCCTACAGTGAAAATCTCTAAAAAAAAAAAGAAAGAAAGAAAAAATAATACTGTTTGCAGAAGATAATTTTAAGAAAGAGAGGTCATATCTGAATAGATGTGCCTATGGGAGCACATCTAATGTACATCAATAATCTGCAACTAAAGTAGAGGTGAACTCTTACAGGAGAATATTTTCCTGAAGAAAAATAGATGTATAAGAAGAGGTGGGTTATTGGCCTTTCTTTGCTAGAGTGCTAAAAGAAAGAAATTAAAATCACTCATATAATAATTTGAATATTCCCTTTTTATACACAACTTTCCTGTGTGTATATAAAATTAAGAAAAGTGTGCTGATATCTAGCAGGTTGTTTGAGGAATGGCTCCTGCAATTAGAGAGAGAAAAGTGACTTGAGAGAATGTGAGCACTTTATTATTAATAGCTGCATACAGTCACTGGAGGTTTAAAACCAGTCTGTGACTTTTCTTTTTTCTTTTTCTTTTTTTTTTTTTAAATTTTATTTATTTATTTATTTTTGCCTGCCAGCACCATAGCTGCAGGCAGCCCTTAGACTGAGCTATAATGTCATCAAAAGTTGGATGCTGCAAATGCTTAATACATTATTGTTCCTATCAAAGAGATAAATGAAAGGCTTGTTCTTGATGTAAGCAGAAATATCGCTGTTATGTGGGACTCAGACATGTCAGCTTTGTATAAACTGGGACCAGCAGTTAGCGTAATGGCTATGTCACTGGACTCCCATGTAGTTGACTGTGGTTTGCGTCCCAGACCCGGTGGCTTAAAACTCGTGCCAGGTGCATGTGCGTGCGTGCCCAAGATCCCTAGAGGAGAATGGAGGAGAAGGGATTGCGACGTGGCCATCCCCCCGGGGAGTGATTTCTCACTTTCTGTCTCTCTGTCTCTCTCTGTCTGTCTGGCAAGCGCACATGCCCTATAGCAAAAACCTCTCAAAAAAAAAAAAAAAACTAATGCTAGAACTATTGATGGCTCATATGAACAGAAGAAAATATGAATGATTCTGACTGGAATGATCTGTAAAGAGAAACAAACTATCCCACATGAAGATGCAATTATTTTGTAGATATTGATAATATGCTCACTCTCTCTGTTGACCATGAATTTCAAATGAGAACACGTACCCTTAAGGTAGATCTGTTTTGAACATAAAAGAAGAGTAAAAAAATTTATCCAGGACAAAAGAAGTATAAATAGCACTAGCGATCAGTGATATACTGCAATGATGTGAATGATTTTGCTTCCAAAGCAACAGAGTCACTAGATTAATATGTCAGGATCTTATCTGTTAAGCAGAATATAAAACCAAGATCTCTCAGAAAAAACTAGAGCTCTAGTTGTGTGATAAATGTGTCGTATTTTAGCCCAACAGATATTTCTGGAGCACCTGGTATATGAAAGTAACTAGTACACAAGAGTTTATTTAAAATATAGGCTCCATATAGTCTTAGCTTTGTAATCTTTGTCAAGACCAGCAGATTCTCATATTTACAAGTGGATCAGGTTATCTAAACTGTTAATTCTATAATTTCCATCTTGGTATCCACAGAAACTGGGATGACAATCAAATCTTTAATCTCTAAATTTAAACCATTCAAAATCATGGATTACAAAGAAAGAGATTCCATTCTTTGATAACTTGATGAATTGGCAACAGAACATCTGAGTTTGAAAATTCCAAAATTACAAAGCCATCTGTTTAAATGGTTCTGCATATATCCTAGTTTATGCACTCAGAAACACTTTTTGTGACATAACCCAACATATTTTTAAAACTGTATATAGTAATTTATTACCAGAATATACAGTGTATTATCCTGCTAAATAAAACCAGATAATATTTTAGAAAAAAAATCATACATCAGTCATATTCCTCTGCTTGAACGTTTCTAATGATTTTCCATTATGCTTAGAATAAAATGCAAAATCCTGCTCCGGATATACTCATCCCATCCCTGTAAGACACTCTCCCCACAAGAAAATAAGGAACACAAGTCCGAGAGGAGAGAGCTGTTTCACAGGTTATAACGTGGGAAGAAGCTTAGAATATTTGAGAAGCAGAAAGAAAATCAGTGTGACCTCTCCTGCCACTCTCCCTTCACTTTCACTATACCCCTGTTACTGACCTTATTTCTGTTCTATTTTACCTTCGTTGTGGCTGATTCCTTTTTTTTTTTTTTTTGAGAGGTTTTTGCTATAGGGTGTGTGCGCTCACCAGATAGACAGAGAGAGACAGAGAGATAGAAAGCGAGAAATCACCCCCCAGGGGGTTGGCCACACCGCAATCCCTTCTCCTCCATTCTCCTCTTGGGATCTTGGGCACACATGCACATGCGCCCGGCGTGAGTTTAAGCTACCAGGTCCGGGATGTGAACTGCGGTCGACTGCATGGGAGTCCAGCGACATAGCCATTACTGATTCCTTATTGATCTTCATATTTCACTTAAATGTCACCTCCTCAGAGATGTGTTCCCTGATTTCCCAATATAAAGACTTATGCCAAAGATAAAAATTTTGTAGCATGGATACTATTGCTTTAAGAGAGAATATGGAGTAAGAAGAGGGGCTTCGCTAGAGCCCTGAAAGGTCTAGGTCGAGGTGATATTTAGAGTTCACACAGCTAAGTAACGCCTGACTGATATTATTATCCTCACTTGGAAGATAAGCAAAGAGAAGCTTAACAAGTGAGATGAGATATTTTTAGTGTTAGTAGCACTGAGGCTGAAGTTGCCAAGTTATATCTAAAAAAAAAAAAAAAATACTTGCCACACTTCATCTATCATAACAATGAAAGTAATGGGCATGCGTAGTAAGATCACCAGGAACCAATCAGGTAATCTCTGCATGTCATGTTCTGTCTTGTTGGTTATAGAAACAGCTCACTATGTTGTAAGAACAAATACTCTGAGCCACTTTGGGTCCAGAGGAGTATCCATTTCTAGAATTCATTTCTTGCTCAACTAAACTTTGTTCATTCATTTCAGTTTATTTCCTTTACCAGGAGATAGAATTAATATGGCTTGGGACCAGCAGATGGTGAAATGGTTACATTGCTGGACTTCCACATAGTCAATCGCAATTTGAGTCCTGGACCCGGCAACTTAAAGTCCATGCTGGTCGCTTGGTCGTGCATGCCCCAAATCCCGAGGGATCCCTATTCAGAGGGGTAGGGATTGTGCCATGGCCACCCCTACCCCCCCCAATGGTGACTTCTCGCTTTTTGTTTCTCTGTTTCTCTCTCTCCAGTGAGCAGGTGTACCCCATTGCAAAAATCTCTGTTAAAAAATTAATATGGCTTTCTTCTTATTTAGATGTCTTTCAAAAAGGAAAAAAGGCATTCAAAATGATGTCCAGCTTTCTTGTGTGGGTAACTGACTGGATGATTGTGCCATCACTGAGATGGAATTTAGAGGAGGTGAGAGAAGAGGTGAGAGTAGAAATGTGTTATATCAACTGGAGACTATAAGTTTTAGGTGTCCAAAAGAAAAGCCCAGCTGTCATTAGACAGTTGAGTCTTGATTACAAGAGTCTTATCTGAGGTTCCTATATGTGAGAATCAACAACACATAAATAACAATGAAAGTAATGGGCATGGGTAAGATCATCAGGAACAGTGTGAAGAGTAAGAAAAGAGAGTGTAGGGCAGAGCCCTGTGGAAAACGCACCTTTTTCTTTTTTCTTTCTTTCTTTCTCTCTCTCTCTTTCTTTTTTTCTAGCTTGCTCTCAGCCATGTGCTCTCTCCAAAGAAAGACAGAGTGAGAGAGAGCAGGAAAGTGACAACGCAACCGCCAGAGAGGATGGCCAAGCTGCAATTGCTCCTCCATTCTCTCTGGATTTGGGGGACACAACACACACACTTAGTTTGCTCTTCAAGGGGCCAATTAGGACTCTAACCTGGCAATCAGCCATGTGGGGTTCAGCCACCCTCAACCTCCATGCCACCTGGTGGCCAGGAAAATGAATATTTGGGAGGAAAACAAAGAGCTGCTACAGTGGGACAGGAGCCAGGACAGTGTAGCATCTTGGAAAGAGCTGGGAGAATAAAAGGTTTCAAAGAGGAAGGAATAATCAAGCTAAAATCTTGTAGAGTTGAAGTATAGTAATGGCTGAAAAGCATTTGTTTTAGTAACAGTTCTGAGAACGTTGGCTGAAAAGGAGATTTGGGAGAAAGATCACTAGCTTAAGTCTGTGTACTGAGGCGATATGGGCTGTGGGGTTGAAAAAGGTAACTTTGGGATGTTGTTGAGAGAAATTTTGACCGTCTTTAAATGCCTATAATAAAGAACAAGTAAGCAGGGAGTAGTTGAGGAGTCACGAGAAAGGATTGGTGGAGTGTATCAGAGCAGTTAGGAGATTCTGAATTGTTTGTGAAGAATCAGGAGACATCACCTGCTGAGACTGAGAGGGGAGATGGCGGAGCAAGCTCGGCTCTTCATTTAGCCAGCCGACTCGGTAGTGGTGGATTCTTTTTGTCTCCTTTCAGTTAGTCGTTTTCCTAGACTCTTGTCCAGCATTTGGCGTTGTTTACGCCAGGGGTCGTTGACCGAACGTGTGACAAACTGGACAATACTCCAGTCCGAACTACTATTCCCGGAATGCAATACGGCTCCTGGGACGTGCGACGGGCTGGGAACGCAGCAGGCCCCGCCCTACACCTAGCTTCCATTGGAGGAGCGTTCACACTCCCAGGAGGCCACGCGTAGGCGGGGCGCTTTACACGGAAGTCAACAGCGGGCGGTGGGCGAACCTTCTCTGGCCCACGCCCCTCAGTCCGGAACCCACGCACCCTCAGTGATTACCCGCACAGGTAAAAGGAACTGGGCGCACTTTGCGCGCGGGGGCGGGGTTTGGCGGAGAGAGAACCGCGGAAGGAGGGCGAAGGTGTGGTTGAGAAGGGGCTGGGGTAGAGCTAGACGGCTATGCAGGGATGGGTGACTTGGGCTTCTCTTGTGTTGACAGTTTGAATTGTTAGGCAGGTCCAGTTTTGTCGAAGTACATTTTATACCACGGTAACATCTCTAGTTAAGAGTGGCAGAATATGTCATTTAAGTTTGCGTTACAGGAAGAAGAAAAATGTCAACTTTCCCTCAGTTCACATTCTGCAAGACCTTCCGGAGATTGCCTGAGTCTTCTAAAAAAAAAAAAAAAAAACCCTCTTATGTCCTTGTCCTATGACGTCATTCTTTGCTTCACTTTCCACTTCCTGTGGCCAGAAATAGAGTTCCTAGCCCCTTGTGTGCCCCTCTTCCATTGCTTACTATTGACAGTCTTTTTCTTCCTCCGTTTAGGTAGAGGAGCTGTATCTCTGTCTAGACCTTGTATTTCCTTAGCGTCAGACCTGTACATTATTGCTATTTTTATGCATGCGTGTCATTTAGCAAACTCTGACAGTAACTAGACTCTACTAAATGTGTTACGTTTCCTTTTCTCATAACTCCTGCTAAGAAGCAGTGATCAAGTCATTTTCCTCCTCCTCCATTTTTTTATTAAGAGATTTTTGTTATAAGGTGCATGTTACCTGAGAGGCAGAGAGAGACAGAAAGTAAGAAATCACCCCACTGGGGGATGGCCACACCACAATGTCTTCCCCATTCTCCTCTCGGGATCTTGGGCACACATGCACACATGCCAGGTGTGAGTTTTAAGCTGCCAGGACCAGGACTCCAACCTTGGTAGCCTATGTGGGAGTTCAGCAAAGTAACTATTGCACCATCTGCTCATCCCTATCAGGTCCTTTTTCTTTTTTCTTTTTGTAAAATGAGATTTAAAAAATATTTTATTTAACTTTATTTACTTATTCATTTATTTATTTCAATTTGACCAGAGAGGGGTGGAGAGAGAGAGAGAGCGAGCGAGAGAGAGAGCGCGAGCAAGCTGCCAGGTCTGGGACTTGAACCGTAGTCAACCATGTGGGAGTCCAGCACCCTTAACCACCAAGCCACCTGCCAGCCCCCCTTTTTCTGTCTTATTAAGTGTTCTCAACTATTTGTATCTCCACTCTCCCACTCTGGATGCCAAAGCACATTGTCATGTTTGGGACATTTATTTTCTTTTAATAGTTGTGGCTAAGAAAACATCCATTAATATATTTAACAAAGATTTATTGACTAGCTAATATATGCTAGACATTCTTCTAAGTGCAGGGGATACAGCTATAAACAATACATAGGAAATTGCTACTGTCTGAAATTTACATCTTTTACATCTTTTGGGGGGAAGACAGTAATAATCAGGATGAGTTATGTGTTGTTTAACACAAAATAAAATAGGTGGTTGGTTTCCAAGAATAGAATCCTATCCTGAGTAGATAAGAGGGATTGGGTTGAATTCAGAATATTCAAAAAGAATATTTGTAATACCAACAAGAATAGTCTTTTTTCTGTAACTGACTTTTTATAAATACCTCTTCTTTTTTCTGTCATAGAAATAGTGTTTCTTCCTTCTTCTATCTCTTCCAAGGTTATTGCATCAGAATTCATGGTTTATCTGTCATTGGCTTATTTCCTCCTAAGACCCAGGCAGAAGAGCTGTGATGGATTATTGTCAGCTCAGCTGCTGTATCTTACTTAGGGAAATAGTTTGTAAGTGAAAATATTCTTACCTGGTCCTACTGAATATAGTTATGTACCATTTATAGTGTATTAAAACCAAATTATGCCCAGGCCCAGTGTTCACTCATTTTCCAGTAAATGTTTAAGAGAATATTATATTGCCAGACACTGGGCTGAACACTGAGAATAGGGCAAAATAGACACTTTGACTTCTCTTCCAAGGAGAAATAATCCAATCCCAACAGTATACTGAATACAAATTCCTAATACATAGTTGACACCTACATTTCTTTATCTTCATCCAAGGTGAGGTAACCTTAGAACTTTAAGAAAGTCATACAGAGTACTATGAGGAAGATAGATATTAAGCTGTCATACAGTAAACCCTCAGACATATGAGTTGAACTAAAAAAAATTCTCTATTTCATCGAGTGCAAATGACTTATTTTCTACAAGACCTTCTTTATAAATACCATCACCTTTTCCCTTCCACTTTTTGTTCATTACATGTGGACAATTCTATCTTATCAAGCTATTTTATTTGCTTTTCATAGCTTGTTCTCACCTCTTGTACCTTCTCTTGTCCCATACCTCCCTCCTAAAATGAGTTTCCATCTCTTTCTGTGTATTCCTCCCCCAGTTACTTTAATGGGCTAATTAATTTAATAGTGTGCCCATGATACAAGGGTTGAAAAACTTAATTTCAGTTTTGTATTTCCTATGAACCATTCTGCTCATGAACTGTTGAAAGAATTAGTATATCTCCTTGCAGTAATATGCAGTCACTCCTCATGTAACAATCTACCTGTTCCTTGCTTATCAGCCAATTCGCTTAATGACCTACTTGTGGGAATGGAACTTGGTCATTAAATGAGGTGTGCCTGTAAATAGTGATAAAAGATACTTTGTTTTGATTTTGGATTGACTATTACTATATGCTATGTGATAAGTTAATTTTTCTACCTTGTTTGAACAGTTGCACAACCTCGGTTCTTACATTATTATATCATTTGGTTTTAGTTTAGTAAAATCACATCTTTGAGTTTTATTTTCTCTCTTTTTTTTGGAGAGGTTTTTGCCATAGGTCGTGTGCGCTTGCCAGAAAGACAGAGAGAGAGAGACAGAGAGACAGAAAGCAAGAAATCACCCCCCCAGGGGGGATGGCCACACCCCAATCCCTTCTCCTACATTCTCCTCTCGGGATCTTGGGCATGTGCGCACATGTGCCAGTATGAGTTTAAGCCACGGGGTCCGGGACTCAAACCGCAGTCGACTACATGGGAGTTCAGAGACATAGCCATTACGCTAACTGCTGGTCCCAATTCTTAAGTTTTTTTTAACACATCTTTTTTTTTTTTTAAAGTTTATTTATTTCTTCCATGAATAAGAGAGAGAGAGAGAGAGATAGCAACCCCAATAGGGTCTTGCCTCAAAACCCAGCCTTCAGTCAGCCTTGGGTCACATGTAAGCACGTGCCCGGTTATACTTAGGAAGGTCTCCAGACTTGAACTGGGAACCTCCCCATGTGGGATTGCCTTGTGAAGTGTCAGGTTCTACCACTATACCACCATCTGGTCCCTTAAAATTAAAGTCTTATTTCCTGCAGTTATCTTTCAGTTATAAATTGTTGCTACAGAAGACAAATTTTGTCTTTATAACTGGTTAAAAATTTGAGTACAAAAGTGCTTGAGTAGTAATTGTCATTATGCTTTCAGGATGTGCCAACCTAAGATCAATCAGACGTTCTTTCTAGACATTAAAAATTAAACTGTTGGGAACCAGCAGTTAGCGTAATGGCTATGTTGCTGGACTCCCACGTAGTCGACCTTGGTTCGTGTCCTGGACCCGGTGGCTTAAAACTCACGCCGGGCGCATGTGCGTGCGTGCCCAAGATCCCAGGAGGAGAATGGAGGAGAAGGGATTGCAGTGTGACCATCCCCCCTGGGGGGTGATTTCTCGCTTTCTGTCTCTGTCTCACTGTCTCTTTCTGGCGAGCGCCTGCACCCTATAGCGAAAACCTCTCAAAAAGAAAAAAAAAATTAAACTGTTATTATAAGGGGTTTTTTTGCACCCATGCCTTCATAAATATGAATGCAGATGCAACACTGAAGTGTGTATCATTGTTCATTTATAAGGTATACATGTAAATGATACAGAATATCTTTATTTACATTTCTGTTTTTTTATTTGTTTCATTTTTATTATTATCAAAATTCAAGTACATAATTAAAAGATTTTTCAAAACATGTGTACCTGGTGTGAAGAACATTGCCTTAGCCTTTCCATTAATCAGTTCTCTGAAACTTTCTTCAACCTCTACTTGCTGAAGAGAGACACAGTGAGAGGGAAAGTGAGAAATTACTCCTCAGGGGGGATGGCCATGCTGCCACAATCCCTTCTCACATGTACACCCAGTGTGATTTTCAAGCTAATGAGTCTGGGACTTGAGCTGTGATCATCCATGTGGGAGTCCAGCAACATAACCACTACACCATCTCCTGGTCCCTTGTGATGCATTTTTGACTTATGATATTTTCAACTTACAGCGTGTTTATTCTAAACTATACAGTGTGGATTTAAATGGGGTAATATCACTAGTTTCATAATTTAGAGGAATGTATTTAAGTCATTAGTACTTCAGTTTCCTCATTTATAATAGTATTATAATACCGTATAATTTCTTTGAGCTGTGAAGATTCAATGAATAATTCTAAAGTACATAAAATGGTGTTTGTCACACAGTAAGCATTTATTAAAAGTGAACTGTTATTGTTTAATAGCTGTCTTGATGAATCTACAGTCTAACTTATGTTGAACTATTTCTCTGGAATAAATTTTCATGGTGGAATTACTGCATTAAAGGATAAAGGAATACTTATGTCCTTACCTTTACTTTCTATGCTCATTGCTTCTTGTGACATTGGTTTGTGTTATACAATTTGTAAGTGCAACCCATTGATGTCTGTGTGTGTGCGTGTATTGTTTATATGTGTACATATAAATGTAGCTTAGGTTGTAAGCTTATATAAGACTGTAATCTTATTAAACCTGTTAAGTCTGTTATTAAATTTCACATTATAATACCTTTTTCAGTACTATTTTCAGGTAGATCTTAGTAAAGGATACTGAATTCATTTTGAAAGATCATGTCAAAGTAATATTCTAAATCAGTGTCTTTTTTCCTTTTGGTAGATTGAAGTCATGGCCATTCTTTTTGCCGTTGTTGCCAGGGGAACCACTGTCCTTGCCAAACATGCTTGGTGTGGAGGAAACTTCCTGGAGGTGACGGAGCAGATTCTGGCTAAGATACCTTCTGAAAATAACAAACTAACATACTCACATGGCAAGTGAGTTCTGAACTGCATATGGTAGAGGGTAAAAGAAGGGAGTTCTATTACTGTAATTACAACAGTAGAAAACAAGCTTTTTGGTAGATGATTTAAATAGGCTGACAGAACAGTAACTTTCACCAGCTTAAGAAATAATGTGGTTTTATTACTTAAAATTTAACTTGTAATAATTTTTTTCTCTCATTGATGTATTTTTATAGTTTGAAGAAAAATACAGAAATACTAAATATATAAATGACTTTGCTATGGAGCTCTAGAATATGTGAATATGAAATGATATAGAGAAGATAAGTAATAGTCTTTTGTTCTTTCTTTCAGTAATTATTTACTGAACACTTAACTATTACTGGGTAGTTTGCTTGGTGATGGGGATATAACAAGAAATGTAGTATTTTCCCTCAATGAGATTATAGTTTAATGAGATAGTCAAGTCTATAGATAATTTAGTAGAGAATAAGAGGCAGTGGGTGAGGGGATGGCATTCCAGGTAGAAGGAATGACAGGTAGAGAAGTATGGAGGCAAGAGATCATAGGGCATATTTAGGTAACTAAAGGTTATTTTCTGTGACTGGTGCCCAGGATGGTGACTATAATACAGGAGAAATGGGGAGAAGAAAAGTCATGAAGGACCTCATAGGCCATGTTAGAGGTTAGATTTTAATGCCTGTGGGCAGTGGGAAACTACTGAAGGTTTTCAGCATGGGTATGACGCAGACAGGTTTTGCTTTATAAAGATCACTCTGGGGAACCAGCAGTTAACGTAATGGCTATGTCGCTGGACTCCCACGTAGTTGACCGTGGTTCACGTTCCAGACCCGGTGGCTTAAAACTCATGCCAGGCGCGTGTGCGTGTGTGCCCAAGATCCCGGGAGGAGAATGGAGGAGAAGGGATTGCAGCGTGACCATCCCCCCTGGGGGTTGATTTCTCGCTTTCTGTCTCTCTGTCTCTCTCTGGCGAGTGCACACGACCTATAGCGAAAAAAAAAATAGATCACTCTGGTGATTGATTGGAGAGGTCATAGATAAGAAATCTTAGTAATCAGATAAAAAGTGCCTCAGCCTTCCTCTTCAATGCTTAAAAATCTTTTGTACATAGCACATCTTTTTCTTTTTCTTTCTTTCTTTCTTTTTTTTTTTTTTTTGAAGAGGTTTTTGCTATAGGGTGCGTGCGCTCACCAGACAGACAGAGAGAGACAGAGAGACAGAAAGCGAGAAATCAACCCCCAGGGGGGATGGTCACGCTGCAATCCCTTCTCCTCCATTCTCCTCTCGGGATCTTGGGCACGCATGCACACACACCCAGCGTGAGTTTTAAACCACCGGGTACAGGACGCGAACTGCGGTTGACTTCATGGGAGTCCAGCAACATAGCCATTATGCTAACTGCTGGTCCCAACACATCTTTTTTTTTAAGAGAGATTTTTTTCTACAGAACAAGTGCACATGCCAGAGAGACAGGGAGAGACAAAGAGATAGAAAGTGAGAAATCACCCCTCCGGAGGGATGACCACACTGCAATCCCTTCTCCTCCATTCTCCTCTTGGAATGTTTGACACTAATGCACACATACTCAACATGAGTTTTAAATCACCAGGTTGACTACGTGGAAGTCCAGCAACGTGACCATTACACAATCTGTTGGTCCCACTCAACACATCTTTATTCTCTTAGTTCTTGTCTCAGAAAGAAGTTTTTAGTACTTTCTCAGGCTAACCCCTTTGTACGATTTAGAGTCCAGTTTAAGTTATCATGAGAGAGAATGTCTTCTCTTTTAAACATCTTTTTCCAGTTTTGTTTTGCTTTTGCTTTTTTGAGGATTTATTTCTGTATGCATAGTACAGTACAGTTCCTGTGATCTTATAAGAACTCAGAGTGAGTAAAAATTTTCTTTTTTTGTCTCTTCCTAATGAGCTATTATTATGTATAATTTTTCCTATCTCTAACTGGACCAATGATTGATACCACTGAACTTTTCATATTATAATATCTCCCACAGTCTGCCACATGGAAATTACAAATTCTTCTCTCATTGGCTGTTTTAAGACTCTTGTTTTCAAAAATCCATTCCCAGGACCAGCAGTTAGTGTAATGGCTATGTCGCTGAACTCCCATGTAGCTGACTGCAGTTCAAGTCCTGGACCTGGTGGCTTAAACTCACACCGGGCGTGTGTGCATGCGTGCCCAAGATCCTGAGAGGAGAATGGAGGAGAAGGGATTGTGGCATGGCCATCCCCCCTGGGGTGGTGATT